CCAAAAACAAGAAGTGTTCAGCGCCAGCCGGCACAAATTTGAAAACACTTCTTGTAGAAATCAAGAATCCCAACGCCTATTCCGAGATAAGGCACGCGCCCAGCTGCCCAACGAGCCAACTACTACCCGACAGACGACAGACATTGCCCAGTGCACAGATTGGCACATAATCCACATGACATGTAACAGTGAAACATGAGCAGCCTCTGTCGCACACCAACACGGCTGGGGAAATCTTTAGCTGCAAAAATGCAAAGGACCAAGCGTGACCCTGGTTGTGTTGTGAAAAAAATTACAGCATCATGATCCGGGGTCTGGGTATATTGAGCCAAAATGCATTTGAGCCTTTGTGGTTTTAGTAGGGAACAGCTCGCCAAAGGATCCTGGCGGGCACCCGGCAAAAGGTCTGCTTGAGCCTGGCACTGGAGCCAAACGCGGCGCTTTTCTGGGCGGTAAGTGCCCGATTTCGAGAGCACCCGCTCCAAATCCGAACTCCTCCACTGGCGAACACCACAAAACCTCCGCCCATCAACGGCAACGGTTCCTACAGCACCATGGAGCCAGGTTCGACCACAGACCACCGCTGATTGCGCCTCCCCTGACCACGCCCACCTCCGAACGAGTCGAGGGTCCTCCACTGAAATGCAAAAACGCCTGTAGGATGTAGGTGATAGGGCGTAGGAACTTCCTCCAAGGTCCGAGGCTAGAGGCTACAGCCTACAGTGACATGGCTCAAAAGGTGAGGGAAAGGAAGGTGGGGCAGGAAAAAATAGCATCTATAATAGGGATATTCTAAATTCTAAACCACCTAGCTTTATCCCACCTTTTCAGTCAACTTCTGAGCCCCCTGGCAGAGGCCCTGCCCTGCAACAAAAAAAGTGCGTCAACACTCTTTTCAGCATGTCAGCATGTCCCCAACAGTGCCATGGCCACGAGCTGAGTTCTGCCTGTGGTCTCATCTGAACTGTGAAGATGTGGAAGCGAAAAGCTGTACAGCGGAGAAAACCAAATGCGTTCGTTTGAACGCACCGTTAGGACCCTGAGCAACGCACCTGCAATTTCACTGGGCCTGGGGCCTCAGTCACTTGGAGCTGGCAACCGTTAGTTTGAAGTTTGAAGACGCAGGCCGGAGGCCCAAGGTCACATCAAAGCAAAGCTGGCCGCAAGCGCGCAACCTTCCCCAGATTCCCAGGCGATTACCTGGAATCTTGCCACCCCTGGACCCTGGAAACTTTGGTTCCCCGGATCCAGGGGTGAAGAACTGCGACAACGGTGCGGTTGCTGCTGCAACGGCCGCCTTGGCTTTTGCAGCCGAAATCGTAGGTTTCGCACCCCTCGCCGCCTTCAGGGAAGGTGGACCCACGGACTCTGCAACCTCTGCAGCCTGCTCACTATTTTTCTTCTTGCGCCGCGTAGCGGCTGGCTCAGCGTCAGACTCCCCGCCGGTGCGGCGGCGGCGGTGCCCAGACCCACCCTTCTGCTGCCTAGGTCCAGGTCAGATTGATATCTTGCAATGACCACCACACATGACATATTGTCAAGAATCATTATCATGGGATAGCCTCAAACTAATTATTGCAAAGCCGTTGCTCGGACTCCTCATCATGCTCATCATCAGCCGGTTCCTCCAGCGAAGGCTTCTTCTGCCTGAATTTCGCTGCAGCTCTACACGGCTACGCTTGAAATCAGTCAGGGCTTCAATGAATGATGCTTGGAAACTCACGCTCAGAATCAGACAAGGAAGTCTCGAAATCATCACGGTCATCACGGATGGTTTCCTCTGAAGTAGGCGCCTGCCTGAGGGCTCATTTGGGTTTGACAAAATAGAAGGTGAAGAGTACAACACGCTATCAGGCTGCGGTCAGGGCACCCAGACCCAGACTCAGCCACGACCACAGCGGTCTCCGGTGAGGATTTCTGCCTAAGTTTCTACATTCTACAGTTGAAACCTCAAGCAAAGCTTAAAACCAGGAATCCCGCGTCCCACGTGCCGTGAAGAATCAAGAGCTGACAGATTAATTGGGTGAATGAGTGAAACTAGGGCAGCCAGGGAACTCAAACTTGGAAGTGGCTTCATCGCCAGGCTTGTCAGCTTGATCGGTCGCTGCGACTGCCACCAAAGTAACGTCCCGCCTTAGCTCTACACTGGTGGGCTTTCGTTATTTTTCACACTGAGTGCGCTTGAGCCAAACA